ATAGTTATATCAGCATACAGCACAACACAGCAAATCAACATACAGTAATAACAACATACAACACAACTAAAAAACTTACAGCACAACAATATACCTCAATTACAGCTCAACATCGTAATTCAGCATTTATCAACTAGTCAGCACAACAATATTTAAGATTTATAGCTCAGCTCAGCATATAACAACATTTATCAACTATTTCAGCATATATCAACACATAATCATCATATAAGTAATCATCACACCCGCGCCTGACGCACTCATGGTCGCGCCCGGCGTGGCATAACCAGAGAGCACCAGGGTTCAGCGCGCCTAGCACAATTCCTATTGCGCCCGACGTGCTAGGAGGCAGAGACCTCAAAAGGTCTCACAAGCCCGGCGTGCTCATCTCGCGCTCGGCGCAGGGAAAGCAAAGACCTCCCCAGGGTCTCACGCCTGGTGCAATATAAATTGTGCCTGCGCCACCTCTGGCAGAGACTCCCAAGGAGTCTCCATGCCCGGCGAGACGTGGTCACGCCCGGCGCCACACCAGAATCACTAAAGAGTAGGTCACTGACTGATAGCGCGCCTAGTGTGGTCCAACCACGCTAGGCGTGAGCCATCCAGGGGCATCTATTCTCAAGCTCGCCCGACGCGCACAACCCTATGCCCGGTGGGCTCGACCAATGGAACCCTCTGATGGTCACGCGCCCAGCGCCAAGAACTGCGCTCGGCGTGCTACCCATCAGCAACTCTCCAAGTTCGAAAATCTTCCTCAAATCTTGCTCCAACAACCATAAATTTCACATGCAAGCCAGCCAAAATGCCACATTCTCACCAAACAACTCAAAAACATCATCTTTTTTAACATGCAACCATCAAACAAGAAAAACCCAAATTTCACCCAAAACCTCGTAAACCCAAAAATGAAGTTTTCTTCAATCTCAGCCACAAATCATCCATCATCAAGCATCTAATGAGCTTCTACAACTCATTTACAACCAAAGATCAGCAGAACCTAGCTTCCCTTACCTCGATGCGAGAATCCGAGCTTCCAGGAAGGAGAAACGGAGAAGAAGAAAACGGACGGGGAGAATGAGAGACGGGGAGGAAGAACTTCAGCTAGCTCCGCACACCACAACACAACAACTGCTCAACACCACCACCTAAGGTTCCAAGGAAGAGACCAAAGGTGAAGAGAATGAAAATGAGAGTGAGAAAAAAGTGAGTGAAAGTGAAGGAAGGGAAAAGAGGGAAAGGGTCTCACAACCTCCCCAACAACAAGAGTTTTTGTCCCCGAAAACAGACTTACTTGGAAATAGAAACGGAAACCAGTCCCTGCACTACTACTCCACCTCCCAAGTAGCCTCACCAGTAGCTGCATCCCACAACACCTTCACCAGAGCAATGGACTTGCCCCTCAGCTCCTTCAGCTTATGATCAACCACAGCTACCGGCAACTTCTCAAATGTCAAATTCTCCTTCACCCGCACATCATCTAGCTCCACCACATGACTAGGGTCATGAACATACTTCCTTAGCTGGGACACATGAAATACATCGTGTAGGTTTGAAAGAGACGGTGGCAAAGCCAACCGATAAGCAACCGGACCCACACGCTGTATTATCTGATAGGGACCAACAAACCTCAGCGTCAAATTCCTTGCCTTCAGTGCTCTACCCACACTAGAGGTCGGAGTCACCTTCAGAAACACATGCTCCTCTTCAGCAAACTCCAAAGGCTTACGCCTTTTATCAGCATATGATTTCTGCCTACTCTGAGCAGTCTTCATCCTCTCCTAAATCAGCTTCACCTTCTTAGTAGTCTGTAGGATCAGCTCCAGTCCCACAACCACTGACTCACCATCTTGATACCAGCACAGAGGAGTCCTACACCTTCTGCCATATAAGGCTTCAAACAGCGCCATCCCAATACTAGCATGAAAGCTATTATTGTAAGTAAACTCAACCAGCGGTAGGACCTCCTCACAGCTTCCCAAGTGGTCTAATACACAAGCTCTCAGCAAATCCTCCAAGGACTGGATTTTCCTTTCTAATTGACCATCCGTCTACGGATGATAAACAAAACTCAGCTTCAGCTTCGTGCCTAAGGCTTGATGTAGACTCTGCCAAAATCTAGAAGTGAACCTCGGATCTTTGTCTGAAATAATATTGGAAGGCACACCGTGCAACCGTACTATTTCCCTCACATACAACTATGTCAGCTTCTCCAAGGATCACTTGATGTTGACAGGCAAGAAATGTGCACACTTGGTCAACTGATCAACAATCACCTAGATAACATCACTATTCCTAGCTGACCTAGGCAACCCCACAATGAAGTCCATAGTGATACTATCTCACTTCCATTCTGGAATCTCCATCTGCTGCATTAAACCACTCGGCTTCTGATGCTCCACCTTCGCCTTCTGACAATTCAGACAGGCTGCCACATATTCAACTATCTCCCTCTTCATACCAGATCACCAGAAAGTCTTCTTGAGGTCTTGGTACATCTTAGTCATACCAGGATGTATGCTAAGTCTGCTCTTGTGGCCTTCCTCCAACACAGCTCTCTTCAGCCCAACATCATGAGGTAGGCAAATTCTGCCCTTGAACCTCACCCATCTCTGCCAAACTCAAAACCAACAGCCTTCTCGGTACCCAGCAAACCAAGAAGCTTCACCAGCTCAACATCTTGCAACTGCTTCTGTCCAACCTGCCTCAAGAACTCACTAGTTATGGTAATCATCCCACAACTAATGTGATGCTGAGCTAACTCCACATAGAGATTCAAATCTCTGAACTCCTCCACCAGCTCCAGCTCTCTTATTTTTTTTTTATTGAAACCGAACAGCCAGGAGCCAGCCCAGCCCACGTCCACGTCCACGCCGCAGTGCTTCACGAAGGCTGTGTTTCAACTTTCACTGCTTCAGTTCGGGACTACGCACAGTGCTTCACGAAGACTTGTTTCACACTTTCACTATTTCAGTTTGACTTTCACACGAAGGTGCCCCTCTATATAAATGTTAATCTTTATTGATCTTTCTAGCATTTCAGTGGCCCCTTCATATCATTTTCAAACCGACAAAATTATTATATCTTTTTGGTTCCAACAAGCTAGAGATATGTGGATCGAAATTTGAACACCTATAATTCATTCATGTTTATTAATTAAAAAATATATTTTTCAATATGTCGTACCAATTTCTTATTTACACTCTAATTTATAAGAACCGAATTAGCTTCTATTTTTTAATGCAAAGTAGTGTAGTTTGTTTTAGGGTTTAGGACTAATTATTTAATAAATATATTGGGTGATGGATTAATGTTGTTTTTTTTAACAAATTATTTAATAAAATAGATCTATTTGAACTACTGGAGTGAATATAATAATGAAGGATTAAAGTAATATATATAGAGTCCAATTGAAACATGATGTCATCATTATAATGATGATGAGTTTAAAGAAACTTCTATATTGGAAAAGTTTCACATACTTTTGAGGTGCCAAATATAATTCATCGAGTTCATAATTTCAAGCATTTAATTATTTCCGGTTTTTAATGATACAGGTTTCGCTTTTCCGGTTTTTAATGTTAAATTATTAACACTAATTAGCATAAATTGTAGATGATTATATTTTCAAAATTTGAATCCTAAGTAGCATAAATTAAGAAATTATTAAATATATCTTTTGTGATGTTATTGTTTCTTTTATTGTAGTTTCGTATAGTTACCATTTAGGCATTGCTATATATTATTAATGTCTTGATATATATTATTACTAGTGATATATTGGTGTTTAATTGTATGAGTAACTTTCCGGGCCAAAATAAATAGCAGTTTTATGTTAAGTGGGTAAATTCAAACCCGGCCCACTTTTACCCGGCCCACTTGGGCTGAACCCGTAGTGGGCCGGGCAGCCCACCAGCCCACTTATTTTTTTTTTTATTGAAACCGAACAGCCAGGAGCCAGCCCAGCCCAATAGACAAGTTTCACTGCTTCAGTTAAAAAACAGTCAAAAAATTAAAACCCTATTCTAACAAGCAAACGGGAGTACGGGACCACGTCCACGCCGCAGTGCTTCACGAAGGCTGTGTTTCAACTTTCACTGCTTCAGTTCGGGACTACGCACAGTGCTTCACGAAGACTTGTTTCACACTTTCACTGTTTCAGTTTGACTAAGGCTTCACACGAAGGTGCCCCTCTATATAAATGTTAATCTTTATTGATCTTTCTAGCATTTCAGTGGCCCCTTCATATCATTTTCAAACCGACAAAATTATTATATCTTTTTGGTTCCAACAAGCTAGAGATATGTGGATCGAAATTTGAACACCTATAATTCATTCATGTTTATTAATTAAAAAATATATTTTTCAATATGTCGTACCAATTTCTTATTTACACTCTAATTTATAAGAACCGAATTAGCTTCTATTTTTTAATGCAAAGTAGTGTAGTTTGTTTTAGGGTTTAGGACTAATTATTTAATAAATATATTGGGTGATGGATTAATGTTGTTTTTTTTAACAAATTATTTAATAAAATAGATCTATTTGAACTACTAGAGTGAATATAATAATGAAGGATTATAGTAATATATATAGAGTCCAATTGAAACATGATGTCATCATTATAATGATGATGAGTTTAAAGAAACTTCTATATTGGAAAAGTTTCACATACTTTTGAGGTGCCAAATATAATTCATCGAGTTCATAATTTCAAGCATTTAATTATTTCCGGTTTTTAATGATACAGGTTTCTCAACTGACCTTTCAACTCAACCAGCTCAGCAGGGGCCATCCTATAGGGAGCCACCGACACTGGCCCTGCACCTGGAACCAAGTCAATGCTAAACTCCATCTCCCTGATAGGAGGCAACCCAGGCACCTCATTAGGGAACACCTCAGCAAAATCCCTCACCACATCAATCTCAGCAATTACCCTCTCGGTCTCCACACTCAAAGCAACAAGCAGAAGACAACACTTTGCTCCACCCCTCAACAATGATTCAACTTGACCAGCTAAAATCAACATCTCCTCCTTCACCTGAGGAAAGATCAGCCTCCTATTGGCACAATCTATAAGAATGTGATTGGCAGACAACCAATCCATTCCTAAGATTATGTCAATATCCACCAAAGGCAAACAGATCAAGTTCACCTTGTACCTCTTCTCATTCACCACAACAGGACAACCAGCACACAGCTTAGAAGTAACTACCGAAGCAGAAGCGGGCGTCGACACTAGTAGTCTCAACCCCAAGTTACACATCGGCACACCCAGCATAGCAACACAAGCATAGGAAATAAAATAATGAGAAACTCCAGAGTCAAACAAAATCATCACATCCTTACTAGCAGCATTACCCTTCCCCTTCACAAGATCAGAAGAACTCGAAGCCTCAGCCCTGGTCAAAGCAAACACTCTCCTAGCAGTAGTGGGTCTGTCACCCCTCTGAGCATCGCCCCTCTGAGCACCACTCCTCTGAGTATCTCTCTCCAGTCTATTTTTGGCGGGACAGTTGGTCGACTCATGACCCATCTGATGGCACCTGAAATACCGGCTCTCCGTGTGTGGACAATCCCTGACAAAATGGGGTCCAACATACCTGTAACATCTAAGAGTGGCACCTCCACCCTGTCTTCCTCCTCTAACAGCATCAGCATGTTGCCTAATGACAGGACCCCCTACTGTGGTTGGGGCCTATCATACGACTTCCTTTGATTTCCTTCTCTCTTGGACTCAGCTGGTCCCTCAACAGTCCTAGTCACACGGTTGCCACCTTCTAATCGCTCAACAACTTTCGCCTTCTCCACCAAGGCCGGAAACTCAGTGATGGCCATAGGCACCACCACCCTCTTCAGCTCTTGCTTTAACCCCTCAGCAAACTTCCTGCATTTACAGGCCTTAGAAATAGCCTACGAGTAGAAACGAGCCAGGTGCTCGAATCTCATCGCATACTCCGATACAAACAGCCCACCCTGGTGTAACCGCATGAACTTAGCCTCCTTGGCGTGCCTCACGTTCTCTAGGAAGTACTTCTCCAAGAACACCCTCCTAAAACACTCCTAGTCAACAACAACTCCTCTAGTAGTCAGCATATGGTGAGTACCTCTCCACCAATACTCAGCCTCCCCAACCAGCATGTATACAGCATATGCCAGCCTCCTCTCTTGAGAACATCCCAACATAGTGAAGATCTTCTCCAACTCACAGATCCAGTGGTCAGCTACCTCTAGGTCTGCGTCTCCCTTGAACTGCGGAGGATGGCATTTCCAGAACTCAGCAAGATCCCGGCTCTCCTGTGACCCAACTGGTCTTGCTGCACCAGCTGCAGCTCTATCAGCATCCATCCTAGCAAAATAAGCATTTTGCTGCTGCATAGCCATAACCATCATCTCCATGGCACGGGCTATCTGCTCATTGGTTCTAGTCATCGTCTACAAAAGTAATAGCATCTTTAATATACAATAACTAAACCAAACAACAATCAACAGCACAACAATCAACAAAGAAATCAGCACAGCAAAGCAACACACACAGAGTTCAGCACAACAAAAGCCTAAAGGAACCACCCTCACAGAGTGTCCACTAGACTCGAACTGCTCTGATACCACTAAAGTGTAACAACCCACCTGGCCGCCACACACAGCTCAACACACCACAACACCACACAGAAAGGAGCAAGTATATATATATATATATATAT